AAGAATCTGGATTGTTATGGGAAGAAGCTATGTCTGGTCTACAAACAACATTCTGCAGGGAATGGTGTGGCCTTGAGAGAGAAACAGACTGAGTGAAAACCTAGATAGTGAGTAAATATGAATATTAATATATAATGAGAGAAATATATTAATTTTCCCACAACACTACTAAAGCAAATTTTGCCAACGGCTAGGACCAAAACATGTTATTGTCACATGTTATCATGGTTGTTAATGAGTACTGATGTAATTTATTGTAAGCAGCTCCTTTCCACTGTGGCAGGAAACATCTATTAAATGAAGCCAAGTGATTTAGCTAATTGATCAAAAGCCACTCTAATTAGTCTCCAACCAGTTAGAAAAAAAAGTAAATTCATGATTAGAACAAAAACAGATTGTACCTATTTTACTGTTTGATAAGATTCTACATCATAAACAGAACCAATCTGCTATTGATGTTTTAACCAAACAAAACCATGATCAACTGCACAGAGCAAATTGTTGCTTCATTTTAATTTATAACATAAAATAAAAATGTCCCAAAACGTATGTGTTCATTTTATAGATTGCAACCTTTTGTTGTGTCCATGAATCGCAGCAGCACTCAGTGAATTACAAATAAAATTGGCAGACATGAAAAACATTCCAGATACACTTTTGGAAAATAAGAATACATTTGAAAAAAAAACATAAATAATTTTAAATTATTTATTTATAATTGAATTCATTTTTATAAACTAGCTTAGACTAGTTCTAGGTTCATTGACTGACTAATATATACTGACCTAAGATATACTGTCCTATGATTAAAGGATTTAAGTTTCTACCTCCTTTCTACCACAAAAAAGAGCGCATCATGCCTGGGACAATAGCACAGATGTTTTATTATATGTGGATGATCTATCATCATATATCAATGGCTGTCCTTCAAAAATTGTTAAGGGTTTCTGGGTACAAACATGATTAACTTGATAAGAGTAACTCCCCCAATAATTTACCAGAAAAACATCCAACTCCCCCTATATCTCTCATGCCCACAAAATCATACATTGTGTCTAGAATTTTTTTCCTAGATTATGTCTCTCACAGTGGACATGCACCTATGATGACAATTTCAGAACCTTCCATGATTTCTAAGTAGGAGAACTTGCACAATAGCAGGGTGTTAAAATACTTCTTTTCCTCGCTGTCCGGTTGAAGAGTTTGATTTCTCTCTGACTCCTAAACATACATTTCAGGCAAAAGCTCTGTTGGTAAACTGTGCTGATTCTACTATTTATTTCTTCTATTTCATACTTATCCTTCTTTATCTTGTGTTTGTTTTTGAGACTCTCATCATCATTAGTATTACTTTAACATTTTTATGGTTTTTCATTTGCACAACTAGAATTGCAAGATTTGCTTTTTCATATGAAAACGGAGAGAAGAAAGAATTTTCGGTGTGAAGATCAACTTTTACAAAGTCTGAATTTGGGAAATCATTTATTCAAAAAGTAAAAACTCAAAAAATGTGTTATATTAAGGAATACCTATTAATTGTTATAAATATAAAAAATTTGAAAACTTACCTCAGGACATTCACTTTGCACAATGAATTCCCCAGTATCTCACACAGATCCTTCACTCCTGAGTCTCGTACTCCACTAATCTCACTTATTTCGAGATCAGTCAGAGAAGAGGTGTTAGACCGAAGAGATGCAGCCACAATTGCACATGCAGCTTCTGGGAGTATACAGCCCATCAATCTATTATTACAGAAAAAAGATTTATTGAATTAGACAAAGTAAGTTACAAAGACAAACCAAGTTCTAACTTAATAGTCATGTAATTATCTGATTAACAATTATTTTTCATTTCATGTGTTTTGAGACATAGGTAAAGCTCTTTAAGTAATGGTTATGGTATTGGTTGTTCAGCAAGATTAATTGTTTTACCAATATAGGTTAAATAGTTTTAAAGTTATCTCTGATATTTCCTCAATACCTTTTTGTAAATTTCTAATAAATCATTTGACCATAGGCCATTAAAACAAGGAACAACTTTTCCTGGATGCAAATTTGAATATCCAGTCACAAAGACAAAAGTAAGAGCCTTATACTGATGAGGAGAACAGGATCACTAAGTGTCCTCTCTGGGGGTCTAATTTATAGAGCTTGCATACACCCAAATCAGGGCCTTAAACTTGTGTACGTCCCTTTGCAGGTAAATTTTGTGATCTATAAAAACAAACTTTGGTTGTGTTGTCACCCTATATTTGTACCAGTGCGGCAGAATTATACATGATTACATTTTGCATAAACAAATAATGTTAATAAACTTACTTAAATTCTGAATCAAGGTACAAGCCATATTTAAGCTTACTCCAAATTGTATCTCTATCCCCAGTTATCCACAGGGTGTGTTTTCAACCCCTAACAACACATAAATGTGTCAAGTAGTAAGAGATTGCATCCTTTGAAAATGGATGCCATGCAATGTTTAATAAATGGACCCTGGGACTGAAGTCATGCAGAAGTTCATTTCATATCATTGGCTGTGTTGGCCCAACATTACTTGGCAATATTGCTGAGAATGGGAATTCCCTGCATTGTTGGCCCTAAATACTCCGGATTCTATGAATTTTGATGTAAGCTAAAACCCTACATTAAAATGTATTATTTTCCCCTTTTTGGTTTTGATCATTAGTATTAGAAGGTTTGGAAAACCCCAGAAACTTTAACTCGATAAAAACCAGTGAAAAAACAAAGTAGTCTTTGCATCAATGAACCTCAGTGTAAATGGGTAAACTTAAATATTTCCTACTTCAGTATTTGTAGCTTGCAGAGGGGAGTCTGTAGAAAACCACAGAGCTCCAACACCCCAGTATCTTTTAAATTATTGTTGCTCAAGTCCAGTTCTGTCAGATGGGAGGGGTTGGACTTCAGAGCTGACGCCAGAAAAGCACCACTGATATCTGAGAAATTGCAGTTCAGCAATCTGAAAAAAAGAATACAAGTTGTGAACCAAACAAAAACACGATACAAGTTAAAATAGTCAAATAGAACCATTGAAAGAGCTCTTATAGATATTAATGACAATATGCTGCTTAAATAAAAACCTACTGACTTCAGCTCCTTAACTATGTCAGCCCAACATTTTTATTAATTCCACAATCCTTATATTTTGGAAAATATGTAATATGTAAGACTAAAAAAAAAAGTACCAGAACCTTTCACCATGACATGTGGTCTTGGATTATTTCAGCCAGTAAAATACTCATCAAGAGCATAAAGAGTGTTGAAGCATTAATTAGTGATTAAATAAGTGTTCCTGTTTTATTCTAGGAGATAAATTTCCCTTTTCTTAACTAGGTTGAATCACCTCTAACCTGCACCAAATCAGGGGATTTTGCATACAAGTAAGTCCAGTAACAAGCCCTGGAAAATATTTTTTGAAATAGAAGATATTAACTTTGTTTTCTAAAGAATAATAAAAAAATTATCACAACATCAGGAAGTGTTACGTTTTTTGACTTAACATGCAAAGTAATCAGACTTTGCCATTAAGATTCCCTGTGTTGATCACTGTATCAGCCTTTAGCTTAGTGAGAACAAATCTATCACAGTAGCAATGTCAGAAATAAACTAAAACATTGTGTTTTACCTTAGTATCTGTATTTTGCAATGGGGACTCTGCAGAAAACCACAGAGCTCCTTTCCTCCATTATCGTTTAGTTGATTCTGACTCAGGTCCAGTTCTGTGATGTGGGATGGGTTGGACTTAAGAGCTGAGACCAGAGAAGCGCAGCCAATCTCTGACAGCATGCAATGCTGCAATCTAAATAGAGGATAAAACACAAGCTAAAAAATACAGGATCCAATGGTCTAACAGAAAAAAAAACATATCTGATTAATAATAATGACAACATGCTGCTTCAATAAGCCAATTCAGACAAACATAAGAAGGTCTGTATTAACCAACTCTGTCATTTCTGTCTGCAGCCCATTTATTCAAATTATGAACAGAACAAACAAGTCTGGAGGAATTTCAAAAAGCATATGATCAAATATGGATTTCCTTGCATAAATTTAAATATTTTGACTGTATTTTGTCTGTTTCACAGACATTAAAAATCATGATGTTACAGAGAATGATTGAATAAAAAGGAATTTAAGAGCTGAAGCACAGAACCAGAACCTGACATGTTGTGTTGGAGTATTTTAAGTCATAAAACCTTTGCAAAGCTTCTAAAAGTGTTGAAGTGATGATTATTATTAGGATAGATTTCAATACCAAAATGTAATTTTCTAAATTAGTTTGAATCCCCTTAAATCTGCTTTAATGAGCCCAGCCCACTGGTTGTCTCGCCCAAGGGGGGTGGGGGGGTGGGTGGGGGGGTATGAATTGTGGACTGCTGGGCCGCTTACAAGACTGCACCTCAGCAGAGACCATGAGCTGCCCTTTCTCAGCCAGAGGAGGGGGGCTGGGGGCCAGTAAGGCAGGTGGGGGGAAGCACGGGGCCGCCTGTGTCCAGGCTGCCATCACCAGGTCGGGTTCGGTTGCTTCGTCCCCTGCTGGCTCCCTGTCTTTGCTCAGCTCCTTCGCTTTTTATAAACAAACCAATCAGTGCACAGCTCATCTAAATATTCATGAGCATACCATAAAAGGAAGAAACCTGTTGTTTCATTTTAGGGCTTTTAACCAGGCTTGCATTAGGGCTCATAGAACAGCAAATATGCCATTTTCAGCCCAACCAATGTTATACACCCTATTCAGAGACCTTAAGGAGTAGTACCAAATACTCTATATAATCATTCTATGACCGCTTTAAGGTAATATAATTTCAGCCATTTGTCTGCAGTAAAGTGTCATACGTTAAGCATGTAAAGTGTATATCAGAAATATAGCACTAAACTAAAATTTGGTATCTTACCTTAATATTTGAAGTTTGCAGATGGGAGTCTGTAAAAAATAGCAGAGCTTATTCACTCCAGAATCTTTAATGTCTTTGTTCCAGCTCAGGTCCAGTTCTGTCAGATGGGAGGGGTTGGACTTCAGAGCTGAGACCAGAGAAGCACAGCTGATCTCTGATAAACTGCACTTCTCCAACCTGAATAAAGAAGATGAGCTGACGGTTATTACAGCCAGACTGAACAACCGAACCCCATTCTCAATGAGCGATTTTCCTGCAACTTCAAATGTGTTCTCGGCCCAGCCCACCTGAATCAAATGGTTTAATTCCCACCATATCTGCAAGTTCTTAAGACCCCTGGCAATCATTTCATTATTTATTTAAATCATATTGAAGTAGTTACTCATCTAAAATGATCAGGAAACCAGTCACGGAAGACTACAGTTATCCATCCCTGATCCAAACAGTTCTAAATAATATCAATGATACCTGCTGCTGCTTCACTAAGATTGTCAAAATAATCAATCAGCAGTTATGCATTTTTCCTTTTAGACACATTCCAAAAGTTAAAGTTCACTTTGTGCATTAGATTATCTTGTTTTTGAGCAGTTTTAAGTCTATAGGAGAGAATTTGTAAGGACTTCTTTAATTAATGAAATATCTATCTACATTAGAACTGCATTCCATTACTGTCTTGCTATTGTAATTTCTGTGTAATTTTGCTAACTCTCGGGGGAGGACTAAAAAACGGCATTTATAATCTACAATGGGCCTACCTGCTCAACTAAAAAACTTGTCCAAATGGGTTTAAATCCCTTGACATGCAAGTTATACTCAGTGTTACTCTGAATATTTTTTGAAAATAGATCAGGGTGTCAGTTGCACAGATGGACTAATGAAAAAACTAATTCCAAGTTCAGTGACGAACTAAACCTATTAAGGCTGAACTATTTCAAATTATTCACAGAAATATAAATACAACCCTATTATTTATGAAGCTGACAATATGGAAAATCTTTCATGAGGAGGCGTTTGAATAAATTAAAAACATTAACATGAATTGCTCATCTTCCTCTTTAACATTTCTTTTTTACTTTATTTTAAAAAATCACCTGACAACAGGCTAATAATATTATAAAACCCAAATGAAAGTCAAAACATCCAGCCACTAACATTATCTTCCAATCTATACTAATCTAGAGTTAATGAATTTTCAAAAAGTTTTGGGAATCTTTTGGGAATCTTGCAATTCACACCTCTGCCATTTTGGTTCAATACAATTTTGTCGTTGGGTATGGAATATAAAATTTCTGCATTTCAAAGGAACTAATGCATAAACTACCATGAAATCCAACTCATTGACTGTGTCTGAATGTTCACCTTCATCACTACATAGGGCACTATATAGTGGTTACACAGTTTTAGATGGGTGTCCAAATGTCTAGTGGATGAAAAAGTAGTGGACTTTTAATTTCCCACAATGCACCTTGAGAAGTAGTGATCATCCATGGTCACTAGACGAGCAAATATTTCCCGGATACATAAACATGGAATGCTAGAGCTCTCCACGCAAAGCATTATGGAATTTTTGTGACAGTGGCTCGCTGCGACACTCTCACTACCCGATTCGTATCGGCAGCACAATCTATGCCATCATCTCATTTGTGCATGTGCAAGAAGATATTTATCCAGGTCGCCATAAATAATGTAATTAAGGTATAAAGTAATTATGTATATCCTTAAACCAATAAACAATTCTACACTGCAGCTCTAAAAAAAAAAAAAGTCTGACTTTTCGGGGACGATTTCAATTGTTTTGACTTTTTCTCCATTAAAATGCTTCTTTGACGTCATCGGACATGCTCAGAGCAATCAGGTTAATTATGATTAAACCATGTTTATCTGCTTTGTAGTTCTTTTCCTTTTATTAGATTGCGCACTACATACCATAAGGTGAACAGGAAAGGAAAATGGAAAACTTAAAGTACTAGATTAATGTTTAAATCCAAAGCCGAAAAAAGTAGCTCCTGGAAGTAGCATAGGATCCCATTTCCAGCACAGATGATTGATAAAACATAAAGGGTTTAAAAAGATTTACTAATTCCTTTTAAGTGCAAGCTTACTGGGTAATAAACATGATTCTGAAATGCATTTATTTTTTAAGGAAATACATTGTTAACCTTAACACATTATACTTTGGTACGCTTAGTGTTTTTAAGGAGGAAAAAAAGGAATTTAGGTATTTTTTACAAAGTAAAATCGAGAGCAACCCGCATGCATATCTGCCAGCGTATGTGCAAATAAGCTGATGGTACGGACTGGTGAAATATAACAAATATAAATTAAAAGTCCATTAAATAGTCCCTGTTCTATATAGTGATTGAGAGATTTAGAGATTAGGGCAGACGTTTGGACAAAGTCCTTGTTTCATGTTTTCTTGTTATTATTCAATAAATGATGGGAGACAATGAAAACAAGTGAAAAACTTTAACTTGACCAAATCAGTAAAGAGGAAACCAGAATGTAACATGATGTTCCCTACCTCTTATTCATAAAATATCAGCCATATGTCAACACAACTTTAAAATCTGACATATATGCACTAAACTAAAACATGCTGTCTTACTTTAGTATCTGTAGTTTGGAGAGGGGAAGCTGTAAAAACCCACAGAGCTGCTTCACTCCTGTGTCTTTAAGGTTATTGTCACTCAGGTCCAGTTCTGTAAGATGGGAGGGGTTGGACTCCAGAGCTGAGGTTAGAGAAGCACAGCTGATCTCTGACAAACTGCATCTCTGCAACCTAAACAGAAAATGATGGATACAGGTTAAAATTTTCATTAGAAATCAGTTGCAGCACTTATTACAATTAACGTTTAACTCTACTGCTTCAAATAAGACCGGAAGACCTCAGCTCACAAACTCCACAGGCAGCAGCTTCTCAAACAGAAATCCTGGACTTATTGCCAATTTATTTAAGTTTCACATAAAGTAAACCTTTGACATTTTCCATTTGTCCCTTATACACTGCATTTGGAAAGCCCGGAGCATACAATAATCAAATGATTTTATGATAATTTTACCAATGCTGACTTACATTTATTAGATTTTCTTATATTTTAATAAGTTCTCATTTAACCAAGGCAAATAATGATTATTAAAAAAAAACATTCATGAATAAATAAAAATATATTTATATATAATTGTAAATAGTAATATATAAATATATTAAGCACTAAATTGAGACCGACTGGCGAGCCGTCCAGGGTGTAACCCGCCTCTCACCCATAGACTGCCAGAGATTGGCACTGACCACACCGTGACCCTGACAAGGACTAAGCGTTAGAAGATGATGGATGGATTTATAACTAAAATAAAACATGGCCACTTACCTCAATATCTGCAGTTTGCAGAGTGGAGTCTTTAGAAAACCACAGAGCTCCATCGCAACATTATCATTAAGTTCTTTGTTCTCACTAAAATCCAGTTCTATCAAATGGGATGGGTTGGACCTCAAAGCTGAGACCAGAGAAGCACATCCAGTCTCTGACAGACTGCAGCTCCTCAATCTGAAAAAAAATATATATATATTTGATGGAGGCTAGCTTAAAAAGTCCAAAAGAGGGTCTGCTGGCACAGCAATGGTTCTCCAGGTGAGGGGTGCTGCCTCACTCCTGGTGGCTGCTGGGCCTAGGTGTGCCCCCAGAAATCAGATCCCTGATCTCTCATCTGGGTCCACCTAGGGCGTGAGCCCATGTGCTCACTGTAACGGCCCTGTGTGACCTTGACACTATGGCCTCTGGGGTTGGGCCCCTCAGAGATTTGCTTTCTGCCTGTGAAAGCAAATCTGGTACGCTATCATCTAGCCGTGGGAGATGTATTCCCAGAGCATTATTGTCAAAACAGACACAAAAAAATCCAAAAAAACTCAGTTAAAGACTTTTCATTAAAGTTATGACAACATTCTGCCACTTTAATAAAGACCTACTGAATTTGGTTCTTAAACTTTTAATTTCACTAGCAGCTCATTCAATCCAGCTCATGTCCTATAGCCCAGTTAGCTTTCTTATTAATTCAAACAGTAGATGCTGGTACACATGTTTGTCATCATTGCCTTGTGTATAGGTATAAACACAACACACTCAGTCATAGATTTCCATAACAAGTCATCCAGTCCTCCATTTTCTGGGCAGCACTGGCTTCAGGTATCAAACAGTCAGTCCCATAAAACAAAATGCTTGAACTGGCCCAGTAGACTCCACAAACGTTTCATTAACCTCCATTGTACAGGGGATATTATGTCTTCCACATAAGCTACTGAATGTTGTTACTACCAGTATTACTCTGCTCACTATCCATGCTTCAATGTGGGTGAGCAAACTATGCTTCCACTTTCTCTCCTCCTAACCACACCACTGCTAAACTCCAGTTAGCCTTGCCTTTCAGGATCTCTTGGGATGGACAACTTTGAATATGTATCAGAATTGTTTTAAGGAGGAACTATGTTTCTAAATCATGTTGAGTTACACTTTAAATTATGTTGGGGAAAAAGTGGAAATGTTCTTTTTATTAATGTTTGCTGCTTATTTAATTGATCATGAAAGGAAGTTTAAAAAAATAAACTTTAACTTGACCAAACCCATGAAGCAGAAAAATAACTTTACAGCAAAAATCTTGAGTACATCAGTGAAATATCATTCATATTTTTACAGTTTTGTGTCATTATATTGCTTACATCAAAAATCTTTGCAGTTAACTGAAACATGGGGACTTACCTTAGTTTCTGTAGTTTGCAGATTGGAGTCTGTAGAAAACCACAAAGCTCCGTTACAACTGGATCTTTAATATCATTCTCACTCATGTCCAGTTCTATCAGATGGGATGGATTGGACATCAGAGCTGAACCCAGTGAAGCACAGCCGATCTTTGACAACATGCATTTCCTTAATCTGAACAATCAATAAAACATGTGAGCTGAAGCCAACAGAATTCAGGTAAAAATGGTTAAAAGAATGAATGAATAATAAGAATGCAAAAATCTATTCTGCTAAAAGAAAAAGTCACAAAACATTACAAACTACTATCTAATATTTCATCTGGGGAGACTAATTTAAATGAACAGAATTATGCTAAACCAAAGTAAGCTTTAATGTCTCTCATGGATGAAATTAGTTTTAAGAACCAAAATGGAATGGAAATATAAGATTATATGAAAATATCTAAAAACACTACACGACAGAAAATGAGAAAAGGTATCTCTGCATTGTGGGCAAATTTTAGAAAAAAATTGCATATTATACATATACCGTATATAATGAAAAAACCAAGGTGTGGAATCGAGTATGGTTTTTTGAGAAACTTTATTTCTAATCAAAACCATACTGTTCTGTTTGTGGGTATATATATATATATATATATATATATATATATATATATATATA